CATGGGAGACAAATGAACAGAAATACCGCATGGCCAGCGGAAAAGGGACACCAGCAGTGCAGGCACCGGACTTGAGAGACAAAAGTAAAGAAATCACATGGGAGACAAACGATGTCTGCCTCTCACTTGCAATCCTTACATTTGTCTTCTTCCAGCCCGTTGCTGTGTCCATCCGGGCTGCTGTTTCCCCGTCTGCCTCGCTTGAAATCCTCTACATTTGTCACCCTGTGTCTACATTTGTCTCACAGCTCTGGACGCCTCTGCCTTGGACGTCGCAAGCTCTAGTTGCAGAGTGTTCCGATTGTGAAAAAACACAAACTGTTTGGGTGTATGGTGGTGAAATTCCACAAACAGGTTGTGGTTACTGTTACTTTGTTTCCCTTCTTGTTGGTCACTGTGTCCCCCTTGTCTCCCTTCTGTCTCCTTTCATCTCCCTTCTTGTCTCCCTTCTTGTTGGTCATTATGTCCGCTTATTTTTTTGGTCTCCGGTCTTCCTTCTGTTTCCCTCTCTCGCCTTGTCTCCTGCCTCCCTCCTGTTTCCTTTTGTCTCCCATCTTGTCTCCCTTCTTTTTGATCATTGTGTCCGTCTTGTCTCCCTTCTGTTTCCTTTTGTCGTTGGTTATTGTGTCCGTGTTGTCTCCCTTCTGTTTCCTTTTGTCTCTGGTCTTCTCTCCCTTCTTGTTGGCCCTTGTGTCCGTCTTGTCTCCCTTCTGTTTCCTTTTGTCTCCCTTCTTGTCTGCCTTCTTTTTGGCCACTGTGTCCGTCTTGTCTCCCTTCTGTTTCCTTTTGTCTTTCTTCTTGTTTCCCTTCTTGTTGGTCGTTGTGTCCGTCTTGTCTCCCTTGTTGCCCCCTTCTTGTTGGTCATTATGTCCGCCTTGTCTTCCTTCTTGTCTCCCATGTCTAAAAAAATTGACTTGGGAATGCTTGTTTGCTGTTTGGGGTCTACTGTGGTGTAAGTTTGTATGTACATAATTTGTATATATATGTGTATATATATAGGGGATCACGCTCAGATGGCACCTGGCGCATAGAACAAATTGATGGAAACATGCTCCCCAAACCTCTGACCGGAGAGCAGGGTTTAAAAACATGTGGATGCCATCAAAGCGTGCAGCCGGAATGGTGCCTCATCTGCTAATTGCGCGACCCCCGATATCTGTATGTATTCATCAAACAGCTTTGCTGTGAGGCGCTCTCAATTCTTGCATAGAAACGATGCTGATTCCCGCCCTTTGTCTCCCCTTGTCTCCCACGCCGTGTCTGGATGCTGGTGAGATGTTTTGCTTTGTCTCCCTTTCCCTCCCCTTGTCTCCCATGGCATGTGTGGATGCTGGGCTGATGATTTTGCTTTTGTTTCCCTTTTTGTTCCCCTTTGTCTCCCCCGTCTCCCACGGATTTGTCCTCTTGTCTCCCATGGCGTGTCAGGATGCTGGACTGAGAGGCTGAGATGACTTTGCTGACCTTGCTTTGTTTCCCTTCGTCTCCCTTGTCTCCCATAAATTGTCTGAATGCTGGGCTGGCTGGGATCACTTTGCTTGTCTCCCCGTGTCTCCCATGGCGTGTCTAGATGCTGGGCGGAGATTTGGCGCCAGGAATGGATAGAAAACTCCGACTGCCGCTGCTGTTTGGGGTCGATGCTGCTGCTGGTGTAATTCACGCGCGCCAGAAACAAGACCTTTCTTTTTGAAAAAAGCAAGGAAAAAGCGCCCATTTGATACTTTGCTGGATATATCTCACAACAGCAACCCCAAACGCGGGCGCCAAACAGGGATAGCTCCAATTTCCAACTGCAGAGAGTGTGCTTGCCCAACCAACAGGGGAAACGGTGGTAGACTGCATTGCCATGAGCTAGCAGCTAACACAGAGAAATTGAACATTCCAATTAACACAACCAAGTAGTCGGGCAAATGACGCTGGCAGCTTCTTGCGTCGGAGCGGTGGAGATCAAAGACGCTGAAAATTACCGGGCGTACAATATATATGTGCGGACCTTGCCGATCCTGTATATAAGTTCCGTTTTGAACAGAAAACTAATCTCTTGTAGATACCATTGGCTAACTGAGACTGCGAATGATCCATCGCTGCAGGTTCTTGGTCGACATAGCGCGACAAGAATTCAACCAATGACTTGCAAGTTGCCGCCGCAAATCTTTAACCCTTGTTAACTTATAGCCACTGATCCCGCGTGTTTACATCAATAGATGTTGCTGACTGCTTTCGACTATGGGACGCCTCCCCAACAAAACCAGTGAAATTAGCGTTAGAGTCAGGCCGATCCAGATTGTGGCCATTTCTTCGCGCAGAGGTTTATTGGCGTAGAGGCGACGTGGCTTGCGCACCGAGCACATTGTCAATATGGCGCCCGCAGACGGGCAAAGTTTTCCTGACCTCCACGCAGGAGGAATTTGGCTTTGGACAACTGGCGGTTAGTGAACCGCATATGTGTTGTCCAAATTTGTTCGAGATTGCCAACAGTTCACCGTGCCGCGTTGGATAAATTTGCCTTCCTGCCCGGAGCGATTTTTGAATGCGTATTAGCAGTTGGAAAACACAGCGTGCTGGAATCGAAGACTTGCAGTCCTTGCGTCCTGGACCTTGCCTTTCCCGACCATGCAGTACGTGCAGTGTGTGTGTGCCCCTTGTAGTCACAGGGATTCTTTTGAATTGTTTTCGTTTACTTCAGCAGGGGGCAACGGCAGTCTTCTTACGTTGCCCAACGAAGCTACAGAAGACTGGTGGAAGCATTCAGGGACGCCTGAATGTGTACCTGCTTGATTTTAACATTTGCTGAGTTGAGTTTTGCATTCCGCAGACTTGCACGTCACGCCGTCATTTGTCGGTTCGATTTCGACTTGAGCCTTTGGCCCCTTCTCCTTTTGAAGACCTCCACGATCCGTGGTTCTTACTTGTACTCTGAGTTCTTAGAAAATGGTACCCTAGGCGGGCGTGTGGCACCGCTGTCAGTCAGTACGCGATCCATAAGTGTGTCTCTCCTAGTGAGAGTCCGGGATGAGCCCGTAGAGTGCCTCCCGTGGACCTGTCGAACGGGTGTCTGTCCATGTTCCCCGGCTTTGGGAATGTAGGTGTCCGGAGCGGACAGCAGGTGGCCTAGGCTGAAAGAACTCAAATTTTTGTCTCATCTTTGGAATTCCAAGCTGGCTCATGCCTTTACGTGGCCGCAGCGGTCAGAGGTGGCCGCCCTCGGGCATGCCGTATGTGGTCGCAGCGACCGAAGTTTGTTCAAGGTTCATTGGAACCTGTTGGAGTCTTAGTATTTCAGAGCAATGAGCACCTTCCCTCCTTTTCCCGCCATGTCTCCCTCACCCGCTGTCTTGGCGCCGATGGAGGGCATCCCTATGGTGGCTCAGGCAGTACTACGCCGTGAGATTCTTCATGTACACGCCTTTTTGGACCACACCCTCACCCTTCTTCGCACTCGTTTGGCAATAATCCTCTCCCTTCCCTTTATGGAACGTGTTACTTCCCCTCATCTTCAAGTGCAACTTTGCGGACTTGACTCTGCAATTCGGCAGGCGACACAAGCCACCCACACCGCTCTCCACTATACCCACGAGTTGATGACTACATTTGGGCTGATTCACACTTTGAATTTTGACAGCAATCAATTGGAAGCTGAACTACGTGGCGCTACATCCTTTCGAGATCATCGCATTTCCCCACCCCGTCCTCCATCCTCTTCGAATACAACTACATCCACCCCAGACTACGACTTCTTCACTGACTCACTGCCGCGGACGACGACCTCTACTACCCGACCCTCTCGTGGCATCGCCGTCGCTACTTCGACAGGACATCGTTCCCGTGCCAGTCTCAGCGGCGCCTTGGACCGCTCCCCTTCTCGTTCTCGCCTGAATCCGCGGGATCCCTAGTTTCACCCACTTCGATATTTTAATATGCTTGCATTTCAAGAGAACCTACCCCTTTTTCTCTCATTTTCGAATTTTGATACCACTTCCATTTGTCGTTCTCACATTGGATTCGATTTTAATTCCCCTTGATTCCCTTGGTTGACATCCCCCCCTCTTTCGCTGCTTCCTAGCCACCGCCGCCATGCACCGCTCGGCTTCGTCGCCTACGACTCCACCTGACCACACCTTACGTCCTCCTCCTGCAGGCTTGGCGCCGATGGAGGGTAAACCTATGACGGCCCAGGCTGTACTACATCGTGAACTTTTTCATGTACGACATTCTTCCTTGCAGCTGATCCTCGCCATTCTTCGCGGCCCTTGGGATACGTTGGCTCCCCCTCTGGCTGGCGCCATCACTTGCCCTCATCTCCGGGCCCAACTTCGTGGATTGGAAGCCAGCGTCGGCCAGACTAAACATGCTGCTTACACCACTCTCGACTACACCGAACAGCTGCTCACTACCCTTGGTCTGGTGCAAATCACTCGCTTTGATCCTGAACACGCTCGATTGATTGCAGAACTTCACGGCCAAACTTCCTTTGTGGATCTACGCTTTCCCTCATCGCCTACTTCCTTCCCAGTACCCTCGCTTTCTTTGCCCCCTCCCTTGAGCTGTCCTTCATCGACCTCTTTGACACCTACCACTGGACCAGGCTCGCTGGTGGTGACTACACCTCCACGTCTCTATACTACCACTACGGTGCCTCGCCCAGCTATGAATCACTTGTCGACTCGATCTCGATCCCCCTCACGATTGACCCAGCGGTAGGTCTCACCAATTTTCTACCCGACTCCCGACCCAAAAGGATCCACTACCAATTTTCTTCTTCTTCAAATTTGTTGACATCTCGCATTTCCTTTCATGTTTGCATTTGACTTCTGCACTTTCCTCTCCTGATCCTTGGCTCCCAGTATGTTGCCAATTTGATCCAATTTGATCCGATATCAATTTCCTCCTTCCGTGCCATGTCTCGCACGACCCCACCACCTTGTGGCTTGACTCCGACAGAGGGCATTCCTATGGTGGCGCAGGCAGTTCTACGTCGTGAACTACTTCATGTACACGCTTCTTTGGCCCACATCCACACCCTTCTTCAACAACATCTTGCCCTTCGTTCCCCTCCACTCCTCGATCGGGTGACTCACCCACACCTCCGCGCTCAGCTTCAGGGTCTGGACCATACCCTCTTGCTTGCGCTACGCGTCAACCACAGGGTCGCACGGCTTTTGCGGACCGTCTGCCTCTTTCTACTACATCGACCATTACCACAGTTGATGGCGTCGCCGTCTTTGAGGGCAGACCCCATCATACATTTCCTTCCCGTGACTCTCTCTTAACCCCTATCTCGACTCCCCCTTCGATTACCAGAACAGGCGGCACTTCCGTTCAAGACCCACCTTCTGCAGGACCTACTCCTTGCAATGATTCTACTCGTTCTCGGTCACGGTCTCGACCTCGGTTGATCCCGTCCTAGATCAAATGTTTCACCCCACTCTTCCTTCGTGCTCAGAGAGAAAACCTGCTGTGATTTTTGTTACATGACTTTGGACTACTGCATTCGCTCCACTCACCATGTGCAACCACCTTTTTGACTTCAATTTGCCCTGGGCTCCGGCGCGTGTGATTTCTTTGTTCTATTGGTGCATTACATTCACCTTCAAGTCTCTCCACTGTAATTTGCTTGTTCTTTACACTATCTAGACTCAGTCTTCGTTCATGATGGCGAGCTCTGCGTCCTCACAAGACTCTCAGCGCGGTCCTCGACGACGACGTGATCGCTGTACGGCTTCCAGATCACATGATCGCCTTCAAGCTGATGACCCCGACTACAGCGCCGACGAAACACACGACGCTTCCGCACTGACGTCCCCCAACCCTCCACCAGTGACAGAACCACCCCAGCCTCCATCCAACGAACCATCCGTGACCGCCAGCACACCCCCTATACCGCCTCCACACATCCTGCCACACCCGTCAACATCCCCGTTCCTCGCCCGAATCTGGCACTACGACCTCAGGGCACACGCCCCCCGCCCTCAACCTTTCGCCCACTCAACGTTTCCAAATTCTGGGCGACCGCCCCACATCACTTTCCACCTTCCCCACCCCCACACCTCACCGCTCCCATCATCCCTCCCCCACGGCTAGCGGCGCCTCCCCCCATCAACCCACCTTCCCACATTACCGCGGCCCGACCGTGACCAGCTGGCCCACCACGGTCCTCTGCTCGGCCCCATGAACACGCACCACGACCACGGCAACCTCACTCTAATCCACATCATCGCCCTTCCAGGCTTCACCGGACCACTTGATCTGATCGCTCCCCACGGATCCGACAACACGACCGACGACGTTCCCATTCCACCAGATCACACCATCGCCGACCCACACGATCCCCAACCCGTCGCTCCACACAGGAGCTTCATTCTCGACTGGACGCCCGGCACGCTGGACGGCGTCAATCTGAACCGGGACTCAAGATTGGCGTCATTCTGACCATCGTGACCTACGAGCTTCAAGGGATCGATCTGACCATCAGGATCGACGAGCTTCCGGGACTCAAGATCGGCGTCAGTCTGATCATCGCGACCGACGAGCTTCAGGGGATCGGGATCGGCGTCACTCTGATCATCGCGACCGACGAGCTTTAGAACATCAAGATCGAAGAGCCTCCGGGAATCAGGATCGGCGTCAGTCTGACCGTCGCGACCGACGAGCTTCAGGGGATCGGGATCGGCGCCATCGCGATCGACGAGATTCTCGCAACCGACCTCGCTCCCCACCACGGGCTCGCTCCAGACAAAGCAGGTCACTTCGAACACCACGCTCCACCGACCGGCCCAACTCGGATCGAGCCTCCTTTGCAGCCCCGGCGCTCGTTCTGCTTCCCGTCCCGGTGATCTTCCACACTCACTTCCCACACCCCCGGATTCCTCCACACCCATCTCACGCCCTGCCACACCCCCACAAGCCTTTCAACAATCCCCTCTTTTGTCCCAACCATCATCCTCCGCACTTTCCAACCCTGAAGCTGACGAACTTCGTCAACTACGTTTTCGATTTCAACAACAAGCAGCTCAACAGCAACTCCAACAACAAGCCGCTCAACAACAACTCCTGCTTCAGTGGGCGCCCTTTCTCCAGCCTTTCCACTTTTACCTTCCACAAGTCGATCCCTCCACCCAGACCATTGCTACTCCTACACCATCTCCACCGGAGCCCACTTCATTGAGTGACCGTCCAACCGCGCCCCCTGACCCGCCAAACCCCTCCCCACGTACGACCACTGCGGAACCAGATGATCTCTCAATCTCTCTTTTCGCACCACCACCATCCACCAACACCACCAACCCCGCTCCTGGAGCATCAGATCCTCGCACCTTACGGCGTACAGAACGACCTGTGACCCCTCCGGCCTGGGGACTTCGCTGGGAAGATCAAACTACACCAATGCGCCGTTTGGAACAATCTGGTCTCTTGGTATATTTGATGGGCAATTTAGCTGAGATCCGCCTTAGTCCCGGTCCTCAGCAGCACATTGGACCACACCCTTCTGGCTTCATATTCGCCCCACTGGCGCTCTCGACCTTTGGCTGGACATCCACGACCACGGTTTCCATGACTGGGATCGAATTCTCCGTTATGTTGAACAGTATCGCCGCGACCTCATCGAGGACCCCTCTCGACCTTGCAGCTGGGAGGAATGTGAACCCCGCACTCTTGTGGACACCACCATCGCCGAGATCATTCGACTTCTACC